CCACCGACTGAGCCCCATTCCCTAGCGGCCGCGGAGGAGGAACCCAGGAGCCTGCAAGCAAGGAACGGCAGTCTCGAGCCAGTTCGAAGGGCTTCGCATTTTCGGTCAAACATCAGTTGGGATAGGGATGGGCAATACGACTGCTAGTTCCAACTCCTACATAAGGGGTTTGAGATTTGTGAAGGTTCGAGTTCTTGAGCACGGCTCCTGCAACACTCAACCAACTCAACCCCAAAACCCGCATGGAAGTACTATAAGCCCTCTGGGGGTGGGGATGTCAATTCTACGGAAAGTACTTGAGCTATCGGTTTCCTAAGGCGGGCATGTATATGGCAGGAACCCTTGCCAAAAGGCAAGGCTAAGGGTAAACCGCACAAGTTTCTGCTGGTGAGACGAAATATGAAGTTTTCAGTTCTGTAATGTGCATTCTCGAACTCTGGCATTTATGAGAACGCTGTTGTGTTCCGTATTGCAGGACATGGCATCACGGAGACCCGCTCCTTGCATCCAAGCCAGTTTGTCAGGCATGCACGCCTCAAGATTCCCAACCCCCTGCGTCCAGCCAGGGACTTGACAGCCAACCGAAGGAGAATACACGTCGATTACTTATGAAAATATATAAGAGTACCTAACAGGATACCATAGGGGGGGAATCCTAACCCAAAAACCACGTCATCCCAAATACACATAGCCTCCCAAGGTATCCGGCCACTGCAAATGTGAAACCGGGAGACTAGGCAGCATGCACCTCCAAACTTCTTCAATCCCAAACCCTGCAAAGCCCTTAAGTATATGAGAGGTTGGACTTAAAAACATGAAAGGTGGTTTCAGGCTTTGGGCTCATATGCCTAAGGAGCTGAGGGTTCATACCCTCCCATACCTTAAACATGAAGCGCAACTTGCAAAGCCCATCGGAGCCCTCCCATTCTATTGACTGCACCGAACCTGAATTGCATTTGGCTTTCAGCAACCTCAACGACCTGAATAACATCTGAAGCTTTACCTCCCGAACTTCATGCCAAATCTGCAAGTCGAACTCCTAAAACCCCGAAAGGCCAATTGTGGAAAGCCTCAACTCGGAGCCCCGAATGAATTCTCGTTCTTGAAAGTCCCGAAGCACGGTTTCGGTAGTGGGGACCCCTCCCACATTTCTGATTTTACCTTCTTGTTGAAAGCCTGAGCTTGCCTTTGGTTAGGAGGGAATGGAAGACTGGTAGTAATGGTAGTTAAACTTGTATTTGCCCATTCCCTACTTGGAGGATCATGGGACTTAGTAAGTAAGGTTATAAGTATCCTAATTGGAGTTATGAGTATAGTTACCTCATTTATAACCCTAGTTACTACGTCCCATGATCCTCCAAGCACTAACCAAAGGTAAGTGAGACAAAGCCCGCCGACCTGTGGAGGTCATGACGGGCGGCGGCGTGTAGGACCCCGTAGCCGTGAACACCGGCGGCGGGACGTAGGAGCCTGAAAAATGTGGGTGGTTGTCAAAATTAGGGTCCCTTTTTGGGTACCCTAAACAATAGGTGCTGTACTATATTAGGGACCTTAAAAAGGGACCACAATTTTCACAACCATCCATGTAATGGTATAGGAATCTGGAGCACAGGGCTCAGACCCGAGGCAGTCGGAAGCATGAAGAGTCTTGTCAGTATGCACACTGTAGCATGAAGCTGTATCTTCGGAATTTCGACTATTCAGAATCAGTGCCTTTGCAGCCGCCCGAAACCCGGTTGGCCAGTTTAGAGCGCTCTAGTTCTGACGTGTTTCAGGACAGGAAGCTGCGAATGCATGCATCAAGAGAGGAACACGAAACCAGGGGTGAGAAGCAGTGATCACATGTATAAAGAGAGGAACACGAAACCAGGGGTGAGAAGCAGTGATCACATGTCTAAGTAATGTTAAGTATAGATATACTATGATGCAGTTGTGGTATATTACAACATATCTTAAATTACCGACCTGTCCCACTGAACTTGTGCATGCAAGGCACCGCTGCGCCCGGTCGCGGTTGGCCTGGCACGGAAACCACAGAGACCCTACCACATGGCAGGCTCACGATGCTGAGTCGAGAAGGCGCGCAAACTTACTCGCAACCTCTGCGGCTCCGTACCATCCGCGTGCTGTCACCAACGGAATGAAAAACAAGCCCTCAATCCTATACCTCCTAAATGCCATGACGAAGACTACTGTCTCACTGGCTCCAGGCCTAAATATAGGCAGGCGCTGAGCGACGGTCTCGGGCTTGGGACGCCCAAAACAAATCCTTGAAGATCCCCTTGACCAGAGACTGCGAACTTGGAAACAGTGCTGCTCCAAACGGGTCCGACATGTTGCAAACACATAAACGGACTTTAAGCTGCCAGAACCCATGCATCGACTCTGTGTGATTCAGAATAGCTTTGGCCTTAACTCAACATTCAACTGCAAGCCCAAATCGCCCTAAACCCTAGGATCTACCTAGAGGCTCCATACTAGTTCCTTTTTGTGGTTCATAGTTAGATGTTAGAATCCTATAAGGTAATCTCCCTAAACCTTCGGATCTAAACCCTCCGCCCCAGAACCTACAACAAGTCGGCGAGACAAGAGCTGGCACGAGCTGGAAGTTGTCACTGGGGCAGCCTGTCGTGCAGTGCCCGGTAATCTGGACTACCTGTACTAAACAAATATATATATATATATATATACATGTGTATATATATATATATATATATGCTGCCTGCACGGATTCTTGCTAGCCGTCCATGAATGTTAGTTGTAGTGGTCATATCTGCTCAGCAACAGCAGCGGTGGCAGGGGCAGTGTTACTGGTGATGCTAGTGGTGGTAGTGGGATGGGGCGGTGGCGTGGTGGTCGTGGTCGCCGTCGTTCAGTATACTGGTTGGTGCAATGGTGATGGCCGTGATCGTGGTAGAGGTAGTGGC